TTTTATATTTAAATAAATATATATATATATATATATATATCAAAATATTGAGAGAATCATCTTTAAAGTTGTCCAAATGAAGTTCTTAGCAATGCATATTACTAATCAAAAATTAAGTTTTGATATATTTACGGTAGGAAATTTACAAAATATCTTCATGGAACATGATCTTAATATCCTAATGATTTATTTATATATTATAAACATACAATGTATTGTTGGCTATTGCTACAAATATACCTGTGCTACTTATGACTGCTTTTGTGCTCCGGTCACATTTAAAGACACATGCAGAAGTCACATCACTGAGGTCAGACTCACGTAGGCGAGGGCCATGAGGGCAACATGATGGCGTCTGATCGTTGCTGTGGTATTCCTCCTCCAGCATGAACCTCAGCTCAGCTAGTTTAGGGTTCTGCTCCCCCTCGGTGGCCAGACGCAGTAACACACACTCAGACTCTAATCATGTGTGTCGCAGGCTGTCTGCTCAGTGAGAGGAGGATTCTTACAGTCGTAGAGCGCGGTGAGTTTCCTCTCGGTCTCGTCGTAGCCGGCGCTCCGGACCTGTTCGCTGAACTTTCTCAGGCATGTGCACGTATGACTTGAGCTCATCCTTGTGTTCAGTAACTGTGGTGATAACCCTGGTGTCCAGATTGGCACAGAGCTGTAAGATGTTGTTCTCCGCATCCAGCCTGCTCTTGAACCGATGCTGACCGACGCCTTCAGGCCCACAATCTGAGACAGGCCGGATTATAAACCAATCAGGACATGATAATAGAAAAGACTAGAGTACAACTGAATATAACAGAAAAGACTATGAAGGACTCTACATAAGACAAGCAGTTCAGAAGATGGAAGAGGTACAATAAAATAATTAATAAAAAAAACAAAGAACAAAGAACAAAACAGGATTGGATAAGACAATAGAGGGTTGTTATAACAAAATAAAATACAATAAATAAATGAAATAAAATAGAAAGTAAAATAATTTATAAATAGAACAAAACAGAACTGGATAAGACAATAGACTGGGTGCTAAAAAAAATAAAATTAAATTAAAAAAAGTACAATAAAAATAAAAAAATACAACAAAACAGGATTGGATAAGACTATAGACTGGAAAATAAAATATTTTAAATAAAATAAAATATTTTAAATTAAATAAAATATATTTTAAATAAATAAAAATAAAATATGACTGGATAAAACACAGTTGATGTTGACTGGAAAATAAAATAGACTGGATGTAAA